ACTCGAATCTGAATTTTGTTCTTCAGACGATATCAACTGGCAAAACAACTTGATAGAGATGTGCGAGACAATCATGCATTCTATCGCTACATGTCCTGCAAGTTCTCTGCATAAACGATATTCCAATCATCAACTAGAGCTGAACTGAAACAGGTCTACAAGGTACTGAAAAAGAGTACATATTTGTCATATCGCACATTTCTGTTTTTAATAGGAATAGGATCAAGATTCATATTCACGCAGTTCATCGAGGGTAATGCTCCTCTCTAGCTTCAAGTTACGAAGGTCTGCACAAAACAACAGAAAGTTAGTGAATGCAAAGATCTACATGAACAGAAAATGGAAAAGGTTCAGGACAGGATAACAAAACATGAGTAGCCAGAAAAAAGAAATCCTATTGCAACAGAAACTTCAATGATGTGTTGTACGACAAAAGAGTGAAAACAACAATAGTGCACAAACCAAAACATATGGACCCAAGGTACTCACAGAAACTCCCGCTCCGACGGACATAAATCTTCTCAAGTGGCAGGCCATTAGATCTAAACAACTGTGCCAACATATGGACTCTTGGATCGTCCTTGGTGCATCTGATCTTCACCATACTAAGATGTTTGCAAGCAAATGATCCTCCCTTTGGTTCTATACCTCTTCTCAATGTCTTCTGGATGTCACAGTTCTTTTTGAAAGACAAACAAAAAAATCAACTTCATTAATCATCTGCTAAAATTTTGAGTCAGCATTGAGAAACACCGAGCATGTAGGTACCATTTCAAGCTGAAGATAAAGCTTCTCCAGACTAGGTGAATGCTGAAGCAAGAGAAGTAATATGTAAAAATCAACAGCTGTACTGATACACCATTCTCCAAGGGCCAAAGTCTTCAGGTTGCTAAAAGTTGGACAATTTAACGATTCTCTCCTCATAATGACCTTCATATTTAAACAGGAGTGAGTTGTTTACAACAAACTATAACAACAATGAATAATAATAACCCAACTGGAAAGGCACAAAACTCTTCAGATAGGAATTATCATCCACCATTTTTTATGGCTAACAAAATTACATTTGGAAAGTGTAGTTTTTTACCTGGTGAATGAAACTACATGTCGAAATTGTTCTGAAACAGACATGAATTTATAGGATAGACTGAAAGAAAATCTATATAGCAAAATAAACACCAAATTCGCTTCAAAAGAGATAATATTTCCATCATATATAACATGCTTAGTTTTTTCTCTGAAGTTAGCTGATTGACTTAATTTGAATACAGAGGTACTTATAAGTGCTCTATTGGCCTGAAAGATTAACTCTAATTTTTATTATTGTAGGCTAAGGGCCAAGAACTGAAGATAGTGAAAAGTAAACTAATTTACACTATTCTGGTAAAAAATATGTAAAGCAAACATGCAGTACAATAGCATAAAAATAGACAGCTCACATTGAACTGATAAAACACATCCCCTATCAGAAAATCATAAATTTTGATTTAGTGATTTTTTTGTGATCAATTTTGATTTGGGGATTGATGTTCCAACTTGCAACAATTTAGGAGGGTTAGAAACTTGGAAGCGTCTGATGTTTGGTGCACTAACCATTTCAGTGTTGTGAATTCAATGATAGTATAAAAAGCTGGATCCACCCCTAAAATCAGCAATGATATGGAAAGGAAAATGTCGAATGATTACTAAGACACCCTCAAATTCATAATGTATTCAACAGAACAAGAGACACTGTATAATAAATGCACTGGACAAAAGAATTAAGGAATTATGAAAAAATTAAACAACGGAATTATAGAATGTAACTACCTCTCCAGAATGACCTAACAGCTCCAGATATCGAGCATTTGAAAGGCTATTGAGAACATTCTGGCCACCAAATTTTTTATAATCATTAATGATATGCTTTGCACTGCAACCATGATCTTTATTGCCCCTAGTGCGATCAAGTCTATTGGCACGGTTTCCAAACTGCTTATCTTCATAGCCATTTGCAATCTCACTGTACTCATAGGTGTCACTATCACTATTGATTTCACTTCCATAATCATAATTGTCCTTGACATCATCTGCTAAATAATGCTCATCATAAAAATCATCTAAGAATCCAGAATCATCACTGAGGATTTCATCACCACTGTCATCAGAATCAGGAACATATTTAGGGGCAAATGCAATGTTGTTGTCATCATCGTCGTCACTTGTTCGAGGATATTCATCAGCGTCCTCTTGGTACTTTTTAAACTCCTTACTCAATAAAGAGTCATCAAGCATGACACTACCTGTTACCAGCACCCCAAAGCTCTTGAACACAGGGACCCAAGACTCTGGCGCGATGCACTGCACAAACACAAGGTTTGGAGCATCAACAGAGAAGAAGTTAGCAAAAGTGCACTTGACCATGGTCAACCTCTTCAGAGAGACAGATGTAAACTCGCGGCCCTCTACCAAGCAGCTCTTGAGCTCTAGTTCCTCCAAACAAGGGCAACGAGATGACAGCTGCCTGGTGAAGCTATCAGACACTTCAGTATAGGTCAGTTTCAAGATTTTGAGGTGGCGAGAGACGAGGTCCATAGGATCCAGCTCCGCCAACAAATTGGGGTTGGGGTGACCGGTTAGCTGAATAACACGAGCATTCCGTCTGATTGCATGGCGGATCCACATCTTAACATCAGAATTGTCGAAATGTTCGTCCTCCTCACCAGGTGACCGCAGGCGGAGAGTGTCTATCGGCGCAAGGGCCTCCCTAGCAAGCAGCAGCCGGTACACGAACTTGGCGAAGTCCTGGGGCGGGTCGCGATACCTCCCTACACGGACATCCACGCAGGGCGCGGAGGCCCAGAGGTCGCGCCACCGGCGCGAGAGCACGCACGTGCGCGCCGCGTCCCACGCCTTCATGAACGACATGACGTGGTGGAGGAGCGCGTCGGGCAGCGCGCTGAGGCGGTCGGCGGCGGGGTTGACTCTCCCACCACCTCCTCCTCCCGAGTGCCCGCGTGAGGACGACGAGGCTTCCCCCGGCCGGTTGACCGGCACCCACCGCTTGGTGACCTTCGGGGGCATCTCGTCGAATAATACAGGTAGCCTGCACTTCTGAGAAGGACGAGATGACCAGGCACAAACAAATCAGAGCTTCGCGGCGTATTCTTGCAGGGACTGCTCAGAGGGCAGAAGAGAGGGAACACTTACCAGAGGATCGGCTGCGATGGCGGCAAATCCTTGATCTCTCACGGGCAGCGGCGGCGAGCGGCGGCGGTAGGGGCAGTTCCGACGAGCATTGGGTTCCGTGAAGAAATGAGGATTCAGTCAGTGAGGCTCGAAATGGGGAGGAGACAGGAGACTGGGGGTATGGTGTGATTTTTTGCGGTTTTCTTCAGCCCACGCTGCACGGCCCATTTATGGCCCACGAAGCCGATGCCATTACAAGCTGTTGACCCGACTCTTCCCTCTTCAAAATAAAAATTGCGCCAACTTTTTAGTTATTAAATAAAAAATAAAATAAAATTACGCCAAATTAAACAAAACTCTGTGGTGTTTATTTATTATTAGACTAGTAAAATGAAGACAATTGACACAAAATCGAGAATTGTCTTGATAAAAAAATTGAAAATACTAACATGAAATCCAAATGTTGTGTTGAATAAAAAACAGGTCGGAGGTTTTGGTTTAGAATTTGGGGTTGCCCCCACCAGGTTGCAATGTCTCCTTATTATAGTTCTAAAAAAGGTGCTAAAAAAAAGAAAACTGTTATCGCGCGACGGGTCACGCGCTGAGGGAGCACGCGACCCGTCTTCAACCTCCCGCCGTGTCCCTCCCTCCGTGCCTCATCCTCGCCCCGCCCCCCCCCGCCGCCGTTCCTGATCGTCCTCGCCCCCGCCGCTTACCACCACCCCGCCGTGGGCGCTAGGGTTCGCCGGAGCTCCGACGACCCCTAGTGCCCATGGCAGCCGCCTTCTTCCCCTCCCCCTCCCCATCGCCGCCATCTTCTCCAACTTCGGCGAGCTCGGCCACCGCCATCTTCTCCAACTCCGGCGAACTCCCCTGCCCCGACTTGATCCGGCCACCGCTACCACCGCTAGGGCACCTAAACCGGAGTTGGAAAAAAAGAGGGGGAGACGCTTGCCGGAACCCTAGCCACCGCCGATGTCATCTTTGTCTGCGGTGGACTCAGATCCAGGAGGAGGAGGAGCCGGCCTACTCGTCGTCAGAACCGCGCATGACGCCCGCCGATTCGTCTCCACCGCCTGCCGCGTCTTCGGGAGCGGGTGCACGGTCACTGGGAGCTCATGGAGGGAGGGAGGAGGAGCAGCGTCGGAGAGGAGGTGTGGAAGAGTGGGGGCGGTGTCTTTGGTGTGGGTGGGCGCGGCTGACGGGTCACGCGGTCGCCCTCCAGCGCGAGGGGTCGCGTGTTAGAATTTCTGTTCTGAAATGGATAGAAATTTCGATGGTTTGGAATAACACTACATGACTAATAATACAATTTATAACTGGCTATATCTATAGCTCATCTATCACACTACAGATATAGTAGTTGGCTAGTAGTAGGACATATTTCATCATTAATACATGCTTCACTTTCTTTACATCAGATGGCTATATAATTACAGCCTACCTCTCTTCTCTTTCATCTATATATATACTAATATTGTGTCACAGAGTGTTCACAAAAAAAATTGTCTTTATGCTTGGTATTGCATGAGAAAGTCACGACATATTCCTAAAATTGATCATAAATCTTTACATAGGAGAGAGAGTGTGAAGAAAGAAGGAATGGGAACTGCCAGCGTAAAGAGAAAAACAGCATTCACCATGTGCCTCAGAGCCTCAGTCATCACACATAGACACGACTACCATTAACAACTTTATGCAAAAATGAAAAATGTTAGGCCGAATTCGGAGACCAGATTTATTCAATATGAATTTCTCCATGTGTATACGTATCACTCCTCAGCAGATGACATCAGGAGCTGCTGTTCTAGGTCTCTATACATTCTGAGTTTTCAGTCAACCTTTTCCATACAACCTAGTGAACACATGCACAGTCAAACCTATACTGAGAAGTTAATGAACCAAAGGATTAATGCCTAGCAAGTACGGCTACCTTTTGTGTTCAGAATACAATCTAAACTATGCAACTCACTGACAGCTACAAAGCTGCTCCAACTCATATTGTACTTCACCAACACAATTACAGTTTTGGCATCAACGAAAACCTCATCATGTGGGGCTTCCTAAGTTTCCTGCATTCATCTTCTTTGCTTATCTATTTTCAGCTTCGCTTTGCGCCTTGCGCTTCACCTGGAGCCTTCCTTCCCTGACATCCAGAGCACGCAGTCCGATGGACAAAAATCATCTCAGGTGGTATGCTATTCTCACTGAAGAATTCTGCCAATCTATGGACCATCACATCACGCTTACAGCATGTGATCTTCACCATCTTCAGCTTGGTGCACACGAATGACCTTGTACTTTGAATGAATCCCAATCTTTTGTTATATGCCTGTGCAAAGCAAAATAATAACATGGTTTAGGCAGTGACCATGTGCTTAAAAGTTTAAACACTATGTAGACATTTATGTGAATTTATACACACCATGTCTAAGTTTGGTGAGTGCCCAAGTATGGATGCTAACTCATCAAAGCCAGGAGTTATACACCATTCACCAAGAGACAGAATCTTCAGGTTTTTTAATTCAGTGCTAGATTTCAATTCCCTCGTAAGCAGCACCTGCACATTTTGTATTAGAAATAATTTTGTCATAAATGTGCTTTTCAACCATAACCATTAGCTGAATCAACTACAACATTATAATACTTCAACATAGGATAATTGAAAAAGCACAACATTGTAATCAATAGTCATATGGACCAACACTATGCAGTGGAAGTTATAACTCTTTTAGCACTAGGTTCGCAAATGAACTAGAAATGAACATTCCATAATGACAGCCTATAATTCTCTTGATATGGAAGGTCGCAAGTTATTATATTTTTGTTCTACCTCAAGTCAATTCTGCAGTGTTTAAGACAGTTTGCCCTTAAAATGCTGAAGTAACAAATATGCTGGCCATGCTATATCAAGAAAATGAAAAAAAAAATCTGGTCAAATCCAAACTAACAATTTCCATAGAAAATATTAATTAAATCCTAATTCTAGGGTGTGTACATTTTAGGACATCAAACTATAAGTTAGGATCAAAGTTCAGTAACAATGGTAGTGACTGCAACTTTTTCTGACATTGAAAAATTGCACTATTACATAGGAAACATACTAGCAATTAAATACGGGGGTGATACTAAAAAGAGTAGAAAGAATTATTAAAGACAAGGAACTTTTTCATGTAGCTAAATTTGTTCACATGAAACGGCCCATATCCCACAGCCCCTGAATGTTTAGTGAAGAACTTCATAACATTTCCATCATAAAAGTACAATAGGGACCCACTGAAAGTATTCTGATTAAATGGGGACCAATACGTTATTTTAGACCTGCAAATATTACCATTGTTTTAAATTTCTGAACTTCAGAATATTGATCTAATCATGTAAAAACTAAAAGGCACTAGTATCAGCAAGGTGACTGAACTGTACCTCTCTTGGATGAGCTAACAAGTCCATTGTTTTAACATGTGAGAGGCTGCAAAGCATACCAACACCACCGAAGTCACTAGAAATCTTGCTCCCATACTCTTCACAGCAACTTTTCACAGGTTCATCTATACTGCGTTTATGACCATTAATCAAATACTTGGATTCTCTGTATCTGTCCTCTGCAATCACATTATAACTCAGAGTACAGTCATCGTCCTCCTCATCACTTGGTGCAGACCGATCACGATCAGAATCATAGTAGATACTACTATCATCAGATTCGTTGTGTCACCAGAGTCACCATCAGATTCATTGTTGCTGTTATCATCTGACTCATCCTCCTCCTGTGGCCATTGACAATCAGAAAGCAAGCAAGAGTCATCAAGAACAATAGCTGCTGTGACTAGGAATTCCATTTTCTGGATCTGAGGGAAGTATTGAAAAGGCTTGATGCAGAGCAGCAAGACAAGGTTTGGAGCATGAACCCTGAATCCAATAGCGAATTTGCAGCTGATCATAGTCAAATACTTGAGCAATCCTTGCCCTCCACTGAACAATCCTTGAGCTCTAGTCCTTGCAAAGAAGTACACCTAGAACAGAGCTGCCTGAGGGTGGTGTCATCCAGATGGACATGAGAGAGTTGCAAGATCTTGAGATTGCAGAAAACGGGGTCCGTGTATTCTGGGTACACATCTGGTGTCCGGTGCATGATGATATTGACTATACCAGGTGATCCCAAGTTCTCGATCCAAGGAACATACCCAAAAGGCCTGCTGCAACAGAGCGAAACAAGGTTGGGAGCATAAACCAAGCAGCCCTTGGGGATTTTGCACTTGTTCATGGCCAACCGCTTCAGCATGGTGGTCTTCCAAACAAGTGCACCTAGACCTGAGCTGCGTGAGGGTGGTGTCATCCAGCCGGACATGGATAAGCTTCAGGGTCCTGAGGCGAGTCTTGATGAAGTCGTAGCCAGCAACAACGAAGCTCGTGTACTCTGGCAACGGGTACACACGTGATGCTCCCCGGAGAACTCGATTTCCTCCGCGCCGTGCCTGACGGTGTAGGCGATCCATGAGTTGGCGTTCCCGTTGCGGGCCTCGTGGCTCCAGCAGAGGCGGAGCGAGTCCAGCGGCGCCAGCTGCCGCCGCCGGTGCAGCAGGTTCTTGACGAATTCGGCTCTCGCCGTCGTCCGGGGATGGTCGGCGCTGATGTCGCCGTCGTCGACGCAGGGGCACGGCTTGCGGATGTCGAGGCAGTTCATGGAGGCCCACAGGTGGCGCCACCTCTTGGAGAGCACGCACGTGCGCACCGCCTCCCACGTCTTGAGGTGCGACATGACCCGGGGGAGGATATTGTCCGGTAGACGGCTGAGGCGGTCGCTGGAGCCGCCACCGGCATCTCCACGGCCACCGCCTCCGCCTCCGGGCGTCCCCTGCGCTGCCGCGTCTTCACGGAGCATTCTGTCGAACGGGTTGCCTGCACGGATACAACTGCCGGCATGAACACCTCGGAATCAAGAACTGTGCAGCGGGCAAGAAACCATGGACGGGATTCCATCAAAACAGATTCAGACGCTTGAGGCCCCAAGAGAAGGTCGCACGAATCAGCAATGGAGGGGAGGAAAGAAGAACTGACCAGAACAAGAGATGGAGGCCTGGAGGGGACTCGCTGGACCGGTGACGGGCGGGTTCTTGCTGCGTCGGTGCCGGCAGCAGCAGAGGTTTCGGCTCTCGTTCCCGCTGGGGAAGGGAGAGAAGGGAAACTAACGGCAAAATGGGAGAACGGGTGGCCCCTCAAAGATCCTCTTATATAACCTCCACATATATTAACCTCTATATATCTACAGCACGTGTTACTTGTCTTGTATTAATTCCATTATATACCTCCTTAATTACTATTACTACCTATTTTCTAGTGTCTTCTTATTAGTTACCAGGACCTGAAACACCAAGCTGAAGCACCTTATGACTGAATAAAATCTGGCAATAGAAATAGGCCTCTGCTCACTGCCAGGGCTAGGTCTCCTCATTCCAAGTGTCTAGCAACAAAACGCCACTACACAAGCACAAATCAACTCCAGATAACCTTTAAGTTGGGGGAAAGAAATGAACAACTGCACACCCCGAATTGGTACTTTTTATTCTATAGAACTTGACTTAAAACAAGGATTGTTTTAGGGACTACATAGGTGAACTCACTAATTAACTGATCATGAAATTTTTTTACAACAGATGCACTTACGTTGGTGTTGATAAGGCTTGCAGTTCGAAAGGGTTGTCGACTCCATATATCAGCACTGCATAATAAAGGGAGAGGGAAAAAAAAGGAAAGATGGACTTGTTTTACTGTATTTTCCCTTTCTCACAACAGTAGCCATTTAGATTATACAGTTACCTGAAAAAATGTCAATCATATGCAGTGAAGCTGTCATGAATATACAGCAAGACCTATAATTACTTGAAAAAGTGCCCATTTGGGTGCCGGAGGGAGAAAGGAATGGCAAGAGACAGGCTTGGTTTGGTTCAGGGAGCCTTGACTTGATGTAGGAAAGAACCCGGCTTAGCGCTGACATATGAGGTTCCAAACCTGCAATTGGTGCGTGATCTGTGGCCTTTGTGTTTTGGCCCTATGACCGGTGCTTTTGGGCACTGTAGGTGCCATTGTACATAAAACTCTATTTCCTTCTTAATTGAGCGGCATAGCTCCTACCTTTATTTAAAAAAAAAACCCGGCAATTGGAGCTGACAACAGGAGGACCTGTGTCGCTCTGCCAGTGCGTAGGTGTCACCGCCTCACCATCAGTGGCACTGACACAATTGTTATTTTTTACTGTAAAAGGGTAAATAAACAATTTTACTATGTACTCTTGAAAGAATTCATTTTCATTTTTTATTTGCTTGGGGCTAAATCAGAAACATAGATTTAGAAGAGGGGGGGTTAGAGAGAATCAAAATTAATGAGAACCGCCAAGTAGAAATGTAAACAGCATCCAGCGTGTGCCTCAGTTGCCTCACTCATCAGTCATCACACACAATGGGCAACAATCATGACAGTAGTACACAGAAACATCAGGTGAATTCCATGGCCAGATATATTCAGTAAGCATTGCTCCTCAGCAGAGGACGTCTGGAGCTTTAGTTCTAAATCGCTGTACATCTGAATTTTCTATGAACCCTTTCAATAAAATCCAAAGGACACATGTACACTCTGTCATAACTACACTGAAATGTTGATGTACCACAGGAAAACGCATCACATTTCTGCCACATTCTTCCATTCAGAGTAAAATCTAAACTAAGCAAGCAGCAAGCTGACCCAACGCACTGTCTTTACCAACACTATTGTGGTATCACATCAGTGTACCCTCATCAGCTGGGGCTTCCTCACTTCCCTGCCTTATTCTGCTTTGCTGGTATCTTCTCAGATTCAGTTTGTGCCTTGCGCTTTGCCTGCGAACCTGTACCTCTCTCGACGACACAATGGCAGGCAGTCCAATGGAAGGAAATCTTCTCACGTGGTATGCTATTCACATCGAAGAACTCTATCAATTTGCAAACAATATCATGCTTACAACATGTGATCTCCACCTTCTTCAGGTTAGTGCATGCAAATGAACTTGCCCTTGGCTTGAAGCCCACTCTGACCTTGTTGGCCTAATGCAAAACAACAGACTTATTTTAGGGGGATTGAACATGCGCTTAAAACTATGAACAAACATTCATTGGGCTTGTGAATTTATAGTTTTATACGCACCATGTCGAGGTGAACAGAAAGGTTCTCTAAGTTTGGTGAGCGCTGAAGCATGGCTGCTAATAGATCAAGGTCAGGAGTTATACACCATTCACCAAGGGAGAGGGTCTTCAGGTTTTTGAAATCAGTACATGATTTCGATTCCCTCACGAGCAGCACCTGCACATAGTACACAAAAGTGCATCGTCCAAATTTAACCACTGATCTAAACAACCAGAATTTCTTGTACATCTAATTATTATATATATTAGCTCATTTATGCATAACCATAACTGTTGACATTTGACAAGTAGCAATGCATATAGCAGGAGAAGATTAAGCTGTACCTCTCCTGAATGGGCAAATAGGTCCATTGTTCTAACTTTGGAGAGGCTGCAAAGGATACCATCTCCCCCAAACATTCGTCCACAATCATTGTTGTACTCCTCTGGAATCTCTTCATTGCCCACAGTATGGCTATCGTCGTCATCACCAGGTCCAGAACAACCGTGATTACCATCAGAATCTTCAGGGCCAACATCTGTACCATCATGGTCAGACTCATCTTCTTTGTACGGAGTGGATTCATATTCACTATTATCATCTGATCCCTCAGCACCAGGATGTGCACCATCATAGTCAGACTCATCTTCTTCGTCCTGAGTGGATTCATATTCACTATTATCATCTGATCCGTCAGCACCAGAATGTGCACCATCATGGTCAGACTCATCTTCTTCGTCCTGATCTGATTCACTATCACTGTTATCATCAGAGTCCTTAACCCTAAAATGTGCAAAAAAGTCACCATCGTCATCGAATTCATCTTTGTCATCATCCTCCAATGTCCATTGACTATCAGTCTATCACTAGTCATGCAAGAGTCATCAAGTGTGATACTCGCTGTGAATAGAAATTCCATGTTCTGGAACTGAGGAACATGTCGAAATGGTCTGGTGCAGCATAACGAGACAAGGTTCGGAGAATGAACTGTTAGATTTACAGTTCTTAGGTATGTTCATCGGATCGGTTTTCTTAGCACAGTAATAGATCAATCGGATTTCACAGAGAGAGATTGAGAGATAGGTGATAAGTAGCAAACCGTCAAATGCCGTAGTTGTTGAAGCTCCGGCCGGGGTTTCGTTGTTGGATGCCATCTGCGCGCCCGGCGGCGGCGACGGTCGGTGGAGAGTGAGTCGGCGCTGTGGCGCCCCACGGCGGCGATGTGAACGCGGGTGGCGTTGCGGTGTCGATGGCACTTCCTGTCGTGGCAGCGCCTCCTACTTTCGATCGGGTCTAGGGTTTAGGATGTCGGTGGGGTGTGGCGGCGCGGTGAACTCTCGGATTGCAGCCCCGCCCCCACCTTCCTTTATAGTTGCAGGCGACGGGGCCCACCAACCATGAAGGTTGGGCGCCCCGATCGTATGCTGAGATAAGGCCCGATTAGGCCGTTGGGCCTAACCGGTGGGAGATCAATACTAACATTCTCCCCTTGATCTCTCATCTATTCTTCGTTCTTTAATTTCATACTCAAAACTTTCAATTCATATTTTCTTGCTTCCATCCTATTTCATCACAGATTAGTGCATTGAATCGTCCCATCGTCCAAAGCAATTAGTGCCGTTAGACTAATGTACCACAATACAATTCTCCGTTTTGAAATGTAAACTTTCTTTGGGCCCTTCAGATGTTCGGGAATCATAGGCTTTCCCTTAAACCCATGTTTGGCCACGTGTTCTCTCGAACACGTTGGGTGGTAAGCCCTTTGTGAGCGGATCCGCGAGCATTTTCTCTGTGCTTATGTGCTCAAGATTTATTATATGATCCCGAACTTTATCTTTCACAACATAGTACTTTATGTCAATGTGTTTGGCAGCACCACTTGACCTATTGTTGTGAGCGTACTGTACCGCTGGATTGTTATCACAATACAATCGCAGTGGTTCATTTATATCATCAATCACTTTCAATCCGGTATGAATTTCTTCACCATTCACCCCGCCCGCTGCCTCATAGCATGCTACAAACTCGGCATACATTGTCGAGGATGCGATTATGGTTTGTTTGGAGCTTTTCCACGATATAGCCCCTCCGCGAGAGTAAATATATATCCCGACGTGGATTTTCTTTTTCTTCTCCCAAGATAATCGTAATCTGAATACCCTCTATCTCGCAGGAATCAGATCTTCTATACGTAAGCATGAGGCCTTTCAGACCTCAGTAAATAACGCAGGACTTTCTTCACTAATTTCCAATGTTCAATTCTCGGATTCTTTTGATATCCGCCAAGTAACCCGGTAACAAAAGCTAAGTCGTATGCGTGTACACACTTGAGCATATTGTAAACTTCCAACAGCTGAAGCATACGGTACCGCTTTCATTCGGTCAATTTCATATTGGATCTTGGGACATTGATGTTCCCCAAATCTATCGCCCTTGACTATAGGAGCAGGTGAAGGACTGCACGCATGCATACTAAATTTCTTCAGGACCTTTTCTATGTATGCCTTTTGCGATAATCCTAGAACCCCTTTTCTCCTGTCTCGGTGAATCTCTATTCCCAAAACGAACGAGGCCTCACCAAGATCTTTCATATCAAAGTTTGAGGACAAGAATTTCTTCGTTTCCATTAGTAGATTGATATCACTACTAGCAAGCAAGATATCATCCACATATAAAATTAGGAATATGTACTTTCCATTCTTGAACTTTGCATAAACGCAAGTGTCCTCAACATTTTCTTCAAACCCAAAACCTTTTATCGTTCTATCAAACTTCAAATACCACTGTCTTGAAGCTTGCTTCAATCCGTAGATTGATTTCTTCAGGCGGCATCCCATATTTTCCTTTCCTTTTACGACAAAACCTTTCGGTTGTGCCATATAAATATTTTCTTCCAAATCCCCATTTAGGAAAGCCGTCTTTACATCCATTTGATGCAACTCCAAATCATAGTGGGCTACAAGTGCCATTATAATTCTGAAGGAATCTTTACATGAGACTGGAGAAAACGTCTCATTGTAATCAATCCCTTCTCTTTGCGTGAAGCCTTTCGCCACAAGTCGCGCTTTAAATCTTTCTATATTCCCTTGGGAGTCATATTTCGTTTTGTAGACCCATTTACAGCCTACTGTTTTGGCTCCTTTAGGAATATTTTCTAAGTCCCAAACTTTATTGGTACTCATTGATTTCAATTCATCTTCCATGGCCTTAAGCCACTTTGATGAGTGGTCGCTTCTCATGGCTTCTTCAAATGAGGTGGGATCATCCCCCATCTGACATTCTTCTGTTTCATAAACTTCATAGTCATCAGTAATAGCTGATCTTCTTATTCTTTGAGACCTTCTAGGTGCCTCCGGCACTTGTTCCACATTTGGCTGTTGTTGTTCTTCCTCATGTGCATCATTTGGTTCTATAGGTTCCTCAAGGATAGGTTCCTCAAGGACAGGTTCCTCATGTTCATTCATTGTCGCCACGGGAGAACTTGCAACAAGTGTTGGCACTATGTTGTCTCGTGACTTTTCGGTGCAAAAGAAAGCAGTAGCGTGAAGAATGGTTCTTCAACCATCGGAGTGGGTACATGTACCCGCTTCTCCCGTAGGGCTGATTTCTCGTGCTACCATGCTCCCCCGATCATGTTATCCTCCAAGAACACAGCGTGTCTTGTTTCTACAATCTTCGTATGTCCACAGACAATAGAAGCGATATCCTTTCGATCTTTTCCGGATAGCCAATAAAATGGCGGTGACCGTCTTAGAGTCTAACTTTCCTATGTTTGGGTTAAACACTTTTGCCTCAATTTGGACAGCCCCACACACGCAAATGGTTGAGTGAGGGTTCTCTTCCGTCCATAATTCATACGGTGTTTTAGGCACCGATTTACTTGGTACTCGATTAAGTATGTGAATGGCGGTTTTCAGTGCCTCCATCCATAAACTAATCGGTAATGTGGAGTAACTCATCATGCTTCTTACCATATCCATTAAGGTACGGTTACGTCTTTCACCACTCCATTCTCACCGAGGCTCCCCGGTGTGGAGTATCGAGCAACTATGCCATTTTCTCAGAGGAACCTTGCGAATGGTCCTGGAATTTGGCCATATGGGGTATGTCGCCCATAGTACTCTCCACCTCGGTCTGATCGTACTATCTTGATTTTCTTATTGTGCTGATTTTCAACTTCAGCTTTAAATATTTTGAATTTATCCAATGCTTCCGATCTTCCTTTAATTGGATAAATATTGCCATAACGAGAGTAGTCGTCTGTGAATGTTATAAACGAAGTCATAACCATCCACACTTTTCACGTGAAAAGGACCACATATATCTGTGTGGATTATTTCTAAAATACCCGTGCTTCGTTTGGCATCTTTCTTAATTTTCTTGACATACTTTCCTTTGATGCAATCAATACATTGCTCTAAATCTGAAAATTCTAAGTGCGGGAGAATTGATTCCTTAACCAATCGCTCCATTCTCCCCTCGAAATATGGCCCAAGCGACAATGCCATAATTTCAAGAGACAAGATCAATTCTCTTTCGCTTCTTAGTTACATCCGCAGATGGGGAATCATTCACATTCTCATCACATACATTGTTCGCATTCTCAGCAAGAGATAATAAATAAAGCTTGTCTTGTCGGAAGGCAAGACCAACACATTTATTATTAACTAGTATCTTACACTTGCCATCACCAAAATGGCAATCAATTCCATCATCATCAAGTTTCGAAACACTTATCAAATTTCTACGCAAAGAGGGAACATAAAGTACTTCTTTAAGTCTAAGTACAAAACCATTATTCAATTCTAAAGAAAAATCTCCAATGGCTTCAACATTGGCTTGCAAATCCATTTGCAACTTTAATCGTTCTTTCTCCTCTTTGCAAGGTTCTCGCCCCACTTAACCCCTCAGAAAGAATTTGCAACATGAGAAGTTGCTCTGAATCAACCCACCAAGTGGATTTATCATAACATAAATACAGAGATTCATCTACAAATGTAATAAATTCATCACCTTTCTTTAGCAGAGATTTTGTGAAGTCCGGACAATCCCTCTTGTAGTGTCCTTCTTGAAGCAAAGCTTGTAACCGATCTTTTTCTCGCTCCACCATACTTGCTGATTCTCGTAATCCCGGGGTTTTTCCTCGTGAACTGGAGGAAGAGGTCTTATCCCACTTAGGTTTCCCTTGTGGTTTAGAATTCTTGCCATTAAAGTTTTTCTTTTGTTGTCCTTCACAAAATGAGCATATTCACCTTGTGAGGACTTTATCCTCTCCTCTTCTTGAGCACACATTGAGATGAGTCTTTCTATGCCCCATCTTTCAGTCGCATATTATAGTTCACAATGAAGGTGTCATATTCTTTTGGCAAAGAAGCAAAAATCAAATGAATCAGAAATCCTCCTCCTTCAAATTCATTTCTTTTAGCTTGGATGTCAGAGTGTTCATCTTCAAAATGTGCTCTCTTATGCTACCACCAAAGTGAATTTCTCATTCACAAGCTTCTTAATCAAGTTGAACTTGTTGTGGCCTTGGTAGACCCAAAGAACCCGACTCTTGATTTTCTCAAGATATTCTTTGGCAAGAGCACATTCTGTGGATTGAGCCCCTTATCATTTCTTCTATGGTGGCTTTGGCTACCAATGTGCACTTGCGGTTGGAGAGAGTCCATTGCCTATGTTCAAGGTCATATTTCATTCTTATTTCAAGATGATCACGCTTTCGAGCAAATAAAATCGCGTGGATTTCATTGTCACCTCTTACCGGGTCCTCCGCTCAAGAGGGACACGGTGAGGTGATGGCAAAATCGACCTCTCCCAACGCAAGTTCCAATTCATACTTCTCCCGCCACACACGGTGATTGGTTCCGTTGAGTGTCGGGATGTTGGCAATATTCACAATGCATTTGCCTCCCAAATCACACCAAAGTAAGTAAGAAACATTTATACATAAAATTCCATGCTTTAACTCAACGTTGGTCAAATTAAAACTTATTATTCATCCATGCAAACATTTTACATCACCGTTGGCGTAAGTAAAATTAATGCACAATTTCTTATGGATCAAAATTATAATATTGTTATTAACAACGCTATCGAAAAATAACAATATCATAATCGCATTAAAATTATCGAAATTCATTTCTCTTAAAATTAAATTATCCCGTTGGTTCAAATTTAATCAAAGAGAACAATAATTATCATGCACAATGGAAACATTAATAATGTTTTCATATTATTATTTTCCGTAAACACTAAAATTCATCGCATTTTTCGAGCAAAATATCGTTGGATAAAATTTGCACAGAAAATTATGTCAAAATCATTCAAATTCATCAAAATATGCATTTAAAATTGTTTCTGGAAAATAATAAGAAAATTTTTCTTGTTCTTCTTTTCATTTTCAGCCCAACATGCCCAAGACGCTACCGAACGGCTCGGCAACCCGCTTGCTTCATACAAGACAGCCGCACTCCAGCCGCAACTGGGCTCGGCAGGCAAGAAAGCGCCATGGCGCCTTCGCTCACTTTGGGCCTCGACTTTTGGCCCAGCAGATCTCGAGCGCTCGATCCGATCCGACGGACGAGCGGTCATTGTTCAGCGTGGATCAAAAACCAGGTGCGCTGGCGGTGCCTCTGAAAACCCTAGCCATTTCGGCTCTTCCCTCTCTCTCTCTCGCCTGCTTGCCTCTTCTCTCACCCTTGGAGAGCGGTCACCATCACGAGCAACCATGAGCGAGGAAAACCGAGCGAAGCTTTGGCGCTGTGTTGGCCCCTCGGCCGGCTGCTGTGGTTCTAACGGGTGAGCACGCCATTGGCCGAGCGGCCTAGCTGCTGACGCTTTCTTGGCCGAGCCCGGCGCTTTCTTGGCCGAGCCCGGCAAGATCGGCTCGGTTTCTTCTCCAAATACGTGAAAAAAAAAAAAACGGTGCGCTTCTTCTTCTTCTTCCGCGGCCGGTGGTAGTTTATCCCCGATTTAACGGCGTGTTCTTTCTTTTCTCATTCTTCCCGTCCCTTTCTTCCCCATTCCGATGATGCACGGGAATTAGGGTTAGGGTTTGGGAATGGGGTTTTTTGTGTTCTTTTGGCTTGTTCATCCGAATGGGATTAGGGTTAGGGGTTTCAGCAGCCGCCTCTTGTTCTTTTCCCTTCCCTTTCGGATTTGATTTCTTTCTTCTTTCTTTTCTTTTCTCACTCGTTCATCCGAAAAGGGGATCTAGGGTTAGGGTTCGGTTGAACCCGATTTCCCCGATCCGTGTTTACCTTTTGTGTGATTCGAGATCTAGATGGTAGGGTTCCTTTTCTTTCTTCTCGGATTGAACCGATTAGTGATGGGTTTCTTTCTAGGGTTAGGTCTTAGTTCGTTTTTTTGTTTTCTTTCCCGATCCGCATCGTATTGGTTTGATTTCTTGTCAAAACTCGCTCGATACCATTGTTAGATTTACAGTTCTTAGGTATGTTCATCGGATCGGTTTTCTTAGCACAAGAATAGATCAATCGGATTTCACAGAGAGAGATTGAGAGATAGGTGATAAGTAGCAAACCGTCAAATGTCCGTAGTTGTTGAAGCTCCTACCGGGTTTCGTTGTTGGATGCCATCTGCTTGGCCCGGCAGCCGACGGTCGGTGGAGAGTGAGTCGGCGCTGTATGGCCTCCCCCACGGCGATGTGAACGTCTGGTGGCGTTTGCGGTGTCGATGGCACTTCCCGTCATTGGGCCGCCTCTACTTTCGATCGGGTCTAGGGTTTAGGATGTCGGTGGGGTGATCGGTAGCGGTGAACCTCGATTGCAGCCCTGCCCCACCTTTCCTTTATAAGTTGCAGGCGACGGGGCCCACCAACCATGTAGGGTTGGGCGCCCCCGATCAGGGCGCGAGGACAAGGCCCAGTTAGGCCGTTGGGCCTAACTGGTGGGAGATCAATACTAACATGAACCACTGATTCAATAGCGAACTCACAGCTGACCATAGTCAAGCACCTAAGTGAGGTGGATCGAATCTCCTTGCCGACCACCGAACAATCCTTGAGCTCTAGCTTTTCCAAAGAAGTGCACCTCGAACAGAGCTGCGCGAGGGTGGTGTCATCCAGCTTGACACGAGAGAGCTTCAAGATCTCAAGGTTGCAAGAACCGAGGCCAGAGCAGTCAGGGTACTTATGCGTTACCCGTTGGTTTACATTGGATGCTGCTAGCAACCCCAAGTTCTGGATCCACGGAACATAGCCAAAGTTGCTGCTGAACTGCAGCGAGACAAGCTTTGGAGCATAAACAGAGAGGATTCCCTTGGGAATTTTGCACTTGATCACGGTCAAACGCTTGAGCAACTTGGACCGTATCTCTGTGGCCTGGGGTATGAGACAGTCGTTGAGCTCAATCTCTTCCAGAGACGTGCACCTTGAACAGAGCTGCGTGAGGGTGGTGTCATCCAGACTGAGATGGATAAGCTTCAAGATCTTGAGGCCAGTCTTGACGGAGGGTTCGCCAGCAACACCTTGTTTTCGAAGGTCTTCGCCATCAACAATGAAGCTCATGTACTCCGGCGTCGGGTACCCCTTGTGATGCTTGGCGGAGAGCTCGATTTCCTCCGCCTTGTGCCTGACGGCGTGGGAGATCCAGGTGTTGGTGTCGCCGTCGCGGGTCTCGTGGGTCCAGCAGAGCCGGAACGAGATCAGCGGCACCAGCGGCCGCCGCAGGAGGAGCAGTTTCCTGACGAACGAGTTGAATGCCTTGGCGCGCGCCATGCGCTGGTAGGCCGAGAGGCCGCCGGCGCTGCCGCGGCGGCGGCAGAGGCACGGCTGGCGGATGTCGAGGTGGCCCGTGTAGGTCCACAGGTCGCGCCACCGTTGCGAGAGCACGCAGGTGCGCACCGCCTCCCACGCCTTGAGGTGCGACAAGACCCGGAGGAGGACCTCGTCCCGGAGGCCGCTGAGACGGTCGCCGCCGGCTCCGGACGTCCTCCCCCGCGCCGCTGCGTCTTCCAGGGCCATTTTGTCGAACGGGTTACCTGCACAGAACACGGCGACCCACCTCAGTCAGAAGCAAGAATCAAGAACTCTGTCTGCACTCTGCCGCGCGCGCAAGGAACCAAGAAAGGCGTACGGCTTGTGGCATTCCGTGGGAATGGATTCACATCCAAGAAAGACGAAGGCACCGATCAGCAATCGAGGGGAGAGAAGGGAAGAATAACTAACCTGGAGGCGATTCAGGCGAGAGAATGAGAGATTGATCGACGACAAGGACGAGTTCTTGGCTGCCTCTGGCTTTTGTTGCTGCCTCGGCGCCAGAAGCGAGAGCAGTTCCTGCTGGCGTTGGATTCCCTCGTTTCCGTTGGCAGCAGGGCTAGGAAATCAGTAGCCGTTTGGGCCCGTAAGCGGCGGGTTGGCTTATATAGGAATCAATGAATGTGTGTGTTTCACTTGGGCTGAAATTAATATGGGCCTCATGTGAGCTTATCAGCAAAGCCTGCTAATCATCACCGAAATAGCATGATTTGCACCCACTGTATATACTTTTTCCTCCCTTTATTTATAAATTGTTATTATTCCATATGAACTAGCATCACATGATTCTTTCATGGTGTAGAACTTTTTTCGCCATCATAGATTTTTGTTTTGCTTCAACAAACTTTTATTCCAATAATAAAATAATCATTAATTGTTATTACACAATCTAAAAACTAGGACAATGATTTCCAATTTAAAGCAAGGTAACAAATAGCCGGCTATAGTTTCCACTATAGCCCGCTATAGTTGTTTTATATAGTGTACTATAGTGAAATTTAGCTCGTTAGGAGCCCATCCAAGATTGTTGTAGACCTAACGAATCAGTAGTTCCCAACCTCGGGTGGAGTGAAATCCAAAAAAAATCAGTAACTAAAAGAATGAAAAAGCATTTGTTGAATCATTTAAGTTATAGAAAAATTCTTGAACCCAAGAATTCAAAATAACAATTCTTCTTTACCTAGGAGAAAAAGAACCACTTCGAATAGCCATACAGATTATATTTGTTGAGAAATGCAAAATGATATGGAGATGATCCTCATTATCTATTTTGGCCAATTGTATTATTTCCTTGTGTATTCGTATAGGAAGTTTTTGTACATGTGTCTTCGGTTTCTCTTTTATCATTTTGTTCAAGAGAAAAAGTTCTTCCCATTCTATGAATCCTTCTAGAATCCTTTTCTCTTGAATATCGGTTAAGAAAGTGATATTCCACCTATTCTTAATCCAAAGTTCTAGACATTTGTTAAAAGAGAAAGAGACTCCGCGATAAATATATACAAGTTATAGGAAAGAAGGCAGCGCTTTCTCTTTTTTTTTCATTTTTATATGTAAATTGAATTGTTAATGAATCGCTTCATTTGCCGACTCTATTTCATTCTCTGAATCCGTATCGTATTTCTTTTCTTTGAAGCAAAAAATCTATAACAAGGTTTGAGACCTTGTGTTTGTATTTGAATTTTGCTCTTTTAGCTTGCCATAGCTTGGTTTTAGCCTTAGGAGAATCTTACCGCTAAATGCCTATAGCCTGCTGTTTTAAACTATGGTTTGAAGCTAACTAACCATTGGCTCCATTTTGTGCCTAATTTTTATTATGAATTTATGATTAATTCTTTGAAAACAAACTAGATGAGGAGGGGGTGTTCATCAGAGGCACTTTGCTGTTTATATATAGGCACTCTCTTGGTTCATCGACGCTGCGTGGCTTTGTCTCCTACTGAACACAAGAGTAGCCAAGTCTACTTCATATACTGGTTTCAGAAAGGGTCTTGACTCGAAAATTAAAAGTGAGCTAAGAGACAAAATATAATTCTAGAATAACTTTATTGTTTTAATTAACCTACACGTATACAACCTTCCCTCGATCACCGTTTGATTAATTTGACGGATGGCAGGAGTCACATCACGTCCAATATACATATAGCAAGAGTAGTTGGCATCGTGTACGTAGTTCAGCTAGAAATCTCGGTGGCTCGGTTGTTTTGTACACACGCACAGCTCTCACGAAGAAACACGTGTACTGGTCCAAAGAGACGACGCATGTATATATTCTATAATAATCTTTGGAACACTTACACGAGAGACTGCATGTATACGGCAGATCAAATAATATACCTCCTCGCGCTATTGGTAGGTCCGTATTGACTACCACTAATAATAAGCATAAATAATTAGCCAAATAAAGAAACCTATAATAAGAGACTCAACAAATAATATATATGCTCTTATCAAGGTCAGAGACTCAAATCTAAATAAAGAGATTCCAACACTAATAAGGGCACCACCAATGGAGGCTAACACTCTTAGTAGTTATAGTACAAATAAAATGATCCACGTAGACTAGAAAATATTGAGGATACTATTCAAATAATGCAAACTATCGCTACTTGTGATTTGCACAGAAACTTTTTCTTTTGATCATGCCTCACCTTTATTTTCTCTCACTCTTCTTTTTTAACATGGACCACCTTCTCTCTTCCCAAACATATGTAGCTTCTGCAAGCCACTATGATATGTGTAGAGCAACTGTTTTTTTTATCCGATCCTACGTGGCTCTTGGAGGTCCAGGTAAAAAGGTAGCGTTGGGGAAGGTAAAAGAAGCATAACGTACTTATCTCTTGGCGCCCATGTCTCCTTTGCATATCTAGACATCTATATATACCATTGTTTTTCTAACAGAAGCCGGGGTCAGCTAGCTAGGACCAGGACTCTTCTTATTGCGTGCTCATCTAACCATTAAGGTTAGCTGCTATAGCGAATAAAGTCCATCTGTTATGCAAGGAAACTAGTTAATCAAGACTAGAGCTAGGACTTGGGCCATGCCATTTTTAGGGTGTGCCGTGGCATAGTCTTTGCTACAGCATGGCTGTTTGTAGAAGGCGTTTAAAAATGCCTTTAAAAGTCATCAAAATGCCTTCAAAAACTTTTTTAGGCATACTTGAGAATGCCTGCTGTAAACTGGACTCAAAAGGTCTTTTGAGGCATTTTTTCCAAAACGCCTTTCAATATCAATATATAAAGGCATTTTGCAGCTGCCTATAATAGTTTTTAAAGGCGTTCTATATTAGCCTTCAAACATTGATAGAGGCATTATTAAAAATACCTCCAAAACCAACTCATACATGTAGAAATTTGCTAATAATTAATATCAAAACAGCACAAATCCATCGAGAAATTAACCAGTGAAAGCACATGTTAACAGCACAATCTTTCAGGCATACACAGTTATATTTGTAACCAAACACAATCAATAAGGTAGAAAAATAATCAAATATCTATCTTCAAATGATGTTCCCAGGTCCTTATGTTTAGGTCCTCAATCCTGAATGATGCAAGTTTCTTGCTCCCTTTATAAGAGTGTCCATATCACAACTATGCATATGCAAGTGTAAATCCATCTAAATATACTATGTTGCCACAGTACCGGCCTTAATCAATGTTCATGAAACCAAACTTATGTTACTCCTGGTTGAAACTAAACATGCCCACATCCAGCTATATATATTTTTGTCCTCACTTGGCAATTGCTCCTGCTTGAAACCATACATGTCCCAATGAGTGAAGGTATATACACTAGTGTGCTGATGTATTACTGTAAGAGGTAGTACCATGAATTTTCAGAAATGACTTCAAAAAACAGAAAACTGGAAGCAAGAGATGCTTACTTTTAATTGTACTAACATCGAGATGTTTGTTATATGTATGTTGCTTTTGTGGCCCTCTACAGACTTGGATGATGTAAGTTGCTCTGTTTTTTCTCTACACACTTTCCTCCTTGCTTGCCTGTTTTCTGGTAAACTCTGTGAAGCAACTTTGATCGATCAGAATTTGCTTCCTATTTTTATCAGAATACCCTTTCAATTCAGAACAGAAAACCTAACTAACCCTTTCAGATTTATTATTAGCAAGATTGCATGCCTGTAGTTTGGACCAAATGAACCGTTTTTTGGGTGCTAGCACAGTTTATAGTGCTAAAGAGGCAACTATGAGCAAAAATGAAAAATGGAAGGTTTACCAGTAATATAAGTATGAAAAACTGGTGAATGATGTTAAAAAAACTACATATTTTCTCAATCGCCAGTCAGGACTGGACCAAAGTCCATATATATGCTTGTGAAAAGCACAACCAGGTACACACCTATATTTCAGTAGAAAAGAAAAATACAGTAAAAGATGCCATTATAAGTTGGTGTAGGTCTTACCAGTGCTCCACCCTCGAGGAGCAACTCATTTGTTACTAGATCTTTCTGGATGGCAGCGGTAAGACCAACGCCACTGCTCCCGAGTCCGGTGGTCTACACTCCTCTTGGTGCAACATTGATGATATGCTTCAGAAGTTGACTCTTTGCAACACCAGGATCTCTCATCTACCATATGTGCAGGTCTCCTCTGATCTGTGCATTTACATTTCAGTCAATAATGGGATGTGAACAGTTGGAGAGAACAAAGCCTTGTTTGGAAATGAAAGTCATACTGATTCCTAGCTGCATATGTACCTTCATGCCACCTGCGAGCGTCCAATGGGGTGCACCAACAAGCAGCAGTGCTTTTTTGACATGTTCATGGCCAAATATTTTAGGTGCCAAGCTTGCCTACTTAATATAGATATCACCTTCCTCGCCCAATTGGCCAACATCACCTAGTTCATATCATCCATAGTTTTGCAGTCGCGAATCAGACAGCTGCAGAAGACAAATGGATCGCATGGCATGAACCTCGGATGACTTACTCATATTTTTTTCTTCATGAGAGCATTTAGCTAGTGAATTGAATAAACCAAAAGCAGAAATCTGAAAGCAGCTTCCCTTAGAAGCTAACTGTAGAGTACATTGATACAGAAATGGCAATAACAACAGAAAAGTAGAGGCTATTGTCCTGCAAAGCAACTAAAAAGAAAAACAACTCAAAGTGCAAGAAAGCTACAATTAGATACTTGCCCTGAGTTGATAATTAGATAGACAGGAAAATTATTGGACTGTATTTTTAGT